ATCTGCCCGTCTGGTTCTACCGCTTGTTTTCTGCTCCTTGCCCCCTCCCTGTTAATTTTTCTCGTGCTCCATTATTCTGCCTCCCCCTTCCACCCGTCTTCTCTTCCCTTGTTCTAGGGGCTGAATGCTCGTGGCAGTGGAGGAAGATGTACCCCCAAGGACATACGTATTGGTTGGCACGTGGGCAAATAGGAGCGAACAGTTTTAACATGATTGAATTCTCATTACCTAACAGCGAAGACTGAGTGGTGTAAAAAGAGAGCAGCAGATGACTCCACAGGGGGGTCTGGGCAGCCGTTGGGGAGGTGTTGGGGTTTGCCGGCCGGGATCGTTTTTCGCATACAGTCACACACTTCGTGCTCTTCGACCTCCCAGAACTCCATTCCCGGGCCACATTCTGAATGCCCGGAGCCAACTGTAGGCCACTTCGTGCTCTTCGACTTCCCAGAACTCCATTCCCGGGCCACATTTTGAATGCCCGGAGCCAACTGTAGGCCACTTCGTGGTCTTCGAGTCCCCAGAACTCCATTCCCGGGCCACATTTTGAATGCCCGGAGCCAACTGTAGGCCACTTCGTGGTCTTCGAGTCCCCAGAACTGCATTCCCGGGTCACATTTTGAATGCCCGGAGCCAACTGTAGGCCAATTCGTGGTCTTCGAGTTCCCAGAACTCTATTCCCGGGCCAGATTTTGGATGCCCGGAGCCAACTGTAGGCCACTTCGTGGTCTTCGAGTTCCCAGAACTCCATTCCCGGGCCAGATTTTGGATGCCCGGAGCCAACTGTAGGCCACTTCGTGGTCTTCGAGTTCCCAGAACTTCATTCCTGGGCATGATTTTGAATGCCCGGAGCCAACTGTAGGCCATTCCTTCGAGTTCCCAGAACTCCATTCCCATGATTTTGAATGCCCGGAGCCAACTGTAGGCCACTTCGTGTCTTCGAGTTCCCAAAACTCCATTCCTGGGCCACATTTTGAATGCCCGGAGCCAACGGTAGGCCACTTCGTGTTCTTCTTCGAGTTCCCAGACATACATCCCTGTTCCCGGGCCCACATTTTTGGATGCTGAGGCAGGCTGAGGTCTGAGGCTGAGGCAGGCTGATGCTGAGGCAGGCTGAGGCTGAGGCTGAGGCTGATGCAGGCTGAGGCTGAGGCAGGCTGAGGCTGAGGCCGAGGCTGAAGGCAGACTGAGGCTGATGCTGAAGCAGGCTGAGGGCGAGGCTGAGGCAGGCTGAGGCTGAGGCAGGCTGAGGCTGAGGCTGAGGCAGGCTGAGGCTGAGGCTGTGCTGTGACTGCTGTTGCCACTGCGACTGCCATCGCGAATGCGACCACGACTGCGAGAACAGCAGAATTCTACAACAGGATTCTTATCTGAATATTAAGGGGAATGCTTCCAGATATGCTCCTACACATCGCTGTTAGGTTGCTTTGCCGGGATAATGTTTTACAATATAAAACTCCGGTACGCATACTGGGCCGCCGCGCGCGTGTGCACTTTGTCATATTTTTACCTAACATCGAAGACTGATAGGTTTCTAATAGTCTAAAAAGAGAACAGCACATTACTCCACAGGGGGGTCTGGGCAGCCGTTGGGGAGCCGTTGGGGGGCCGTTGGGGTTTGCCGGGGGGGATCGTTTTTCGCATACAGTCACACACTTCGTGCTTTTCGATTCCCAGAACTCCATTCCCGGGCCACATTCTGAATGCCCGGAGCCAACTGTAGGCCACTTCGTGCTCTTCGACTTCCCAGAACTCCATTCCCGGGCCACATTTTGAATGCCCGGAGCCAACTGTAGGCCACTTCGTGGTCTTCGAGTCCCCAGAACTCCATTCCCGGGCCACATTTTGAAGGCCCGGAGCCAACTGTAGGCCACTTCGTGCTCTTCGAGTTCCCAGAACTCCATTCCCGGGCCACATTTTGGATGCCCAGAGCCAACTGTAGGCCACTTCGTGCTCTTCGATTTCCCAGAACTCCATTCCCGGGCCACATTTTGGATGCCCGGAGCCAACTGTAGGCCACTTCGTGGTCTTCGAGTTCCCAGAACTCCATTCCTGGGCATGAATTTGAATGCCCGGAGCCAACTGTAGGCCACTTCGTGTTCTTCGAGGTCCCAGAATTACATTCCCGGGCCACATTTTGAATGCTGAGGCAGGCTGAGGCTGAGGCTGAGGCAGGCTGATGCTGAGGCAGAGGCAGCCTGAGGCTGACGCCGAGGCTGAAGGCAGACTGAGGCTGAGGCTGAAGCAGGCTGAGGCTGAGGCTGAGGCAGGCCGAGGCTGAGGCAGGCTGAGGCTGAGGCTGAGGCAGGCTGAGGCTGAGGCTGTGTCTGTGACTGCCGTTGCCACTGCGACTGTCATCGCGAATGCGACTACGACTGCGAGAACAGCACAATTCTACAACTGGATTCTCATTTGAATCTTAAGGGGAATGCTTCCAGATATGCTCCTACACATCGCTGTTAGGTTGCTTTGCCGGGATAATTTTTGAACAATAATTGTTGTT